TCGATTATCCGAATCAATTGGGGACTGGGGTTGTTCAGAAGATTGATGTTTCGGATAACCGATTATGTACAAAAAAATATATTAATTTATCCCATCTTGACATTTTTCTCTGTTGCATGTCGCTTCGCGTTGAATTTTCGTCGATGTTAAGCCTAATGAAGACTATTGTATCGTTAAAAATTATTTTTTTATTTTGTATGAACAAAATAAATATATTGAAAAATATAAAAACAGTAAAAAATTATACTTCAGAAGTTAATTTAGTATTAAAAACGTAAAATATTTGAGTAGCCCAAGACATAGCCAAAGATTGCAGCTCCACAGTACTGGCAAAAATTAAAATTTGCCAACTGGAATTCTTTCGGATGATTGACGTTTCGGATGATTGGCTTTTGGATAATCGACGCTCTACTGTATTAAGAAGTGTGTCTTGCTCTATCTTAGTTTTTTTAGTGCATTTTCCAGTCATTAACAGTGTGACCTGTTAATACACATAACAAGTGGGTGTTGTGGGTTTGAGTCCCACTTTGGGCTGATTCTTTTCTTCCAGAATCTTCTAAATTAATTAATTATAATTACTAAATTTATCAAGAGATGGCTTAGTATTAATATAGTAGTAACATTAATATAGCCCAGTATAATCTGGCAATCAATTGGCATTGATTTCATTATCATTAACAATAAAATTATTTTAGAAATTAAACTTATAATATTAAGATATTTATTAAAGAGGCATTTAAGGTGCAAAGAATTATAAATAAGCTAATAAACTGGATTTTTTTTCTCTATCATTTTAAATATTTAATTGCAAAGCCATCAAAAATAAATAAAAGTGATCATAAATATCAATGTTGTCTTACATGATTTGTTTATTTATTACGAGCATATTTTTTTTTAATACGTACTGATAAATTGAAAAATAAAAACTAATTTTTATATAAAATAATACTATTTTTAGAGATGACGATGAAAAGCCTGTGGTGCCAGAATGTCATCATGCAGCAAGTACCCAGGATAATAAACAATGTTATGTTGCTCACAATCCATTTTTAGAGGTAGGATTCCAAATATATTAATTATATAACATTGCTTTTTTATATTTTATTCTGTTTTCATTTTATTGCTAATTCTTATTCAAAGTATTGCAATATGTCTTCAAGATAAATTTAAAATAAATTTACTTATGCATGTAGAAAGTTAAATTTACAGATTATTAAATTATATTGTAGTATTATTCATCAAACAACATTCACTGAAAATAGTTGTCTTCTTTTTGAGATTCAAAAGTTGGCAGGTATGGCTCTGTTTTATATTTTGCAAGACTATTGTTTAAATGCAAATTGAATATTATCATTTAATTGTTATTCATTAGCTAATAATACTTTGGATCAGCATTTAGGATTATTTTTAATATTTGTTTTTATTATTTCTGTACTATATTAACATAAAATTTATTTAATAGAGATTTATTTGGATTTTTACTTTATTCGTTAAAATTTTTAAACAATTCCTTATTAATTAATCAAAAGTATCAAAGTAGCTTTTTTTTTGCACATCTTTAACTTTAATTTAAAAGTTCTCAGAATTTACATCTTCATCAATAGAAACTTTTAAAATACATTAAAATTAGAATTTTTATCTATAATTAAAATTATTTAAATTTATTTAAAAATAATTAGATGTAAAGTCTTGGAAACATTCTAATATTTGCATTTGAATCTGTTTAAAATTGGAACTATTGTACTTCCTTGAGTCTAACAAGCAGTTTTTTTGCCTATTTTAGTTGTGTAAAAAAGAGATACATCTAACAATTAATAGTGTCTTACATTCACATTCCAAAACAGCAATCATAAATTGTCATAAGAGGTAATATGTTATCCATCAATAATAAATGCTTTCAGCTATACTGCTCAGTGGTCATATCAGTTTAAATGAACTTTAATGATAAAAAGTATTTAATTTAAACTCCTTTGTAATATGTTTGAATTACTTGTTTTAAAATGACATTAGTATGCAGTATTAAAAGAAAAGTTATTATATATGCACAATAACAGAAATAGAGCTACTAAACATTCTATATTCCATAATATTTATTATGTTTTTCTAACTTAATAAAACAATAAAATTGATTACTTAGAAAAGTTTCCTCCATAAGAAAGATCATAGAAGGATGCATCTTAAAATTGTTAGGATTACAAAGGTAATTTTTGTTTATGTCAACACTTTTCTTAGTTACATACTACCATTTTGGATTAATCATTTAATTAATCATAATTACTGAATGATTAACTTTGTTAATTAATTCAACTTTAGTGATTTTCTGATAATCATTAACTTTTATAATTAGTCAGAATATAGCTTAGTAAATTAAACACTAAAACAATATTGGAAGATTATGTAAAAAGTACTTTCTGTTTTTTATTCAAATAATAAGAAAAAAAGAGACTTGTAAGATCTGACAGAATGCAAGACATTAACTGACATTAAAATCTCAATAGATAGAATATTTTTATAAATTCAATTTAATAAGTTAATATTTTTCATTCTTTAAAAATAAAATTATTCAAATCAATTATTTACCTGAACTAGTATCTATGAAAACATCAACTCTCTTAAATGCATTTAATTTTTGTAATTTATCAGCTACAGAATAGATATTTAATATAACCTGAAAAAAAAAATTTTTTTATTTTATTCATGTGTATACTTTATATGTTCTTTTCTTAATATATTATTTATACATGTGTTTTGATTAGAATCTCAATTTAATACTATTAAGTTAGTAAAGATTTTTTTCATTTTGCATTGTTTACTCGTGTTCCATTTTTTTCTTTTAAAATTTATGTATTACAACATTAGTGAAATTATGTAACAAAATTATACTTTTTATATAAATATGGTATCAAAAACAACAGAAATATCTCAGATTTTATAACACAATTTGAAAGTTTTAAATTTATTTAAGCAATTGTTTAGTATTAAAAAATTAACTTAATTGTCAGTTATGCTTATTAATAACTGAAATGTGTAAATAACTCTGTTTGTGTGGAAAGTTTTCTATGAGCTAAGATATGTTTTGCAGTTCATTTCAATAATGTTATTAATGTGCTTTACTACTAAAATAATGTTTTACTGCTGATATTAAATGAAAAAAATATATGAATAAAACACACCTTTAACAATCCAGCAAATAAACTATTTTAGTAACATAAAAACGTTTTCAACTGTTTTTTAATGATCTTTAGTTAACATAAAACAGAATGTAAATATGAAAATAAGAATTCAGTGATAAAAACAAATAACGGAAAATGTAGTTGTGATTGATAAAATAATATAAATTAAGCTGAAAATGTCACTTAATAAAGAAATTAAATTAAATTAAAATAAACAATGTCTCTTAATAACATTAATTCTTGTAAAAAGACTGCCTTGTGGTAGCTAATGTGTCTGCATCTGTATGGTTGATGCAACCAGTTCTCTTGTGTGCTTTAAAGATCTCTAACCTTTCAAGATGTTTCATTGTGTGTAAATTTGTTGTTGGTTTAATTATTGCTGCTTGATCCCAATGGATTTGAATGTCCTGTTGTTTTGCATAAGCTGATAGTGTGGTGTTGTCGAGGTTCTTATTCTATTTTATGTTAACTGAAGAAGATCGTTAAAAAATGGTCAGAAATGTTTTTATGTTACTAAAATAGTTTATTTGCTAGATTCTTAAAGGTGTGTTTTATTCATATTATAGTTATCCAGTATGTACACATATATATATATATATATATATATATATCAGTTAACATTAATATTCTCAAATTTATAATATTTTGATAGTTAAAAGACAAGCACACACAATTTGAATTTTTCACAATAAATCCATTCTCACATCACAGGAGTACAAACCACAAAGTGGAGTTGACTTTTCTTTTAAGACTTTCTTGTCTAAACATACATATCTATTTAAAACATCCTTCTGACGGCAGTTGAATTTAGAATGTTACTTGTCTAATGGAAAATTCCTAAATTTATTGATAATTAACAGTCACACAAATGGATTAAAGTCTTCACAATTTGTCCTTTCTTGAAAAAATCTAAATTAGTACAATAGAGTCATCTTTCTGTTAACAATTTTTGACTCTGTAACTGTTTACTGTTCTATCAACTCCTGGTGGACTGAGCATTTTGTTTATGCATTTTTCTTAAAGATGCTATATGAAAACAATATATTATTAAATAATTTATCTTGTTTTAATGCTTGTTTTCTACTCTTTAATTTTTTGGTATATAATTTTACATATTTCTTACAGACATAATATATCATATAGAACACACTTGATGAACCTTTATGTCCGGTAACGTTTAAAATTCTTTAAGTATGTTCATTAACACCAGTAATTACATTGGAAGATATTGTTATATCATATAGCCTTTAAATTAAATTTTTAATGTATAATTTCACATTATAAAATTTAACTATAAAATAAAACAAATAATTTTTAATTAATTCATTTTACCCTTAAAAATTCACACTTCTGATGTCTGTAAGCAATTAAATGCTTCATTTTCATCCATTAATTTATGATTAAAGAAGATACAGAAAACAATTCAAGCAAATGAAAACAATGGAGGAAAACTACAAAAAGTTGAGAGCGAACATGAAAATCCATTTTATTTTTTTCTGTCACAACTAGGTGCATAGACAGACACTGGACACATCCTATTTCAGAATAAGCAATGAAAATTCATGATTAAGAACATCGGCAGCATTATATATGAATTACAGTAGTGATTCTAGATACTATACTCATGCAAAAAAAAAATTATATAAAACCAAATGAAAACAAATTACTTATACATAGTATGGGAATCAGTCAGAAGTCTGTTATTTTCACTTCAATAATATGTATGGGCATCTAAACATATGATTCTAGTAAAAAGAATTATGAACACTTCAACTTATTTGTATGTCTTCTAACTAGAAGTATTTTTCAGGAGTTTCTGCCTTGGTTTACTATTTTAATTATGAAAGCAATCTGTGACAAATATTGTTTATTAAATTGTAAAAGCAACTTCCTGAATAAACATTCAAAGAGTTTGCATGACTGAATACATATCAAGGATAATGTGTCACAAATTTTTCAAATAATATTAAAAACATTTTGTTGTAAGCAGATAATAGGAAACAATTGAAAAACATACTTGACTAAAGAATATTACAACTGTAGATAATGTTATGTTTACTTTGTTTTTGGTATCAAATTCTAAATCTACATCTCTCAAAGGAGAGATGATGTTTTTCAATTTGAGGTTTGTTAGAAATAAACGAATTTAATAATTAAAATATCCATTAACATACTAAATGATTTTTATAATTTAATAAATAATGTTTGATAATTCAAAATTCACATCTCTTATATTTTTCATATAATCAAGAAAATATTTTTGTACATTTTTGCAAAATAATAATAATTAAAAAAATATCAATAATATGCAACAACATGTTCTTGTTCATTTTATTATTTATAACAATTTTTACAATAAATGCATGCTAAATGCCAAATATTTCTAATACTGGGATTTAGCATACATTTACTATAAAAATCTCAGAATAAGTTTACTTTATAATATGTGACATTTATTGTAAAGTAATTTATTCTGAGATCTATGTAATAAAGAGATCTGTACTCTAATTTTGTAGTTACAAAATAAATCTCTTGTTTAAGCATAATAATAATAATAAAATGTAAAATATTTACCTCTTGAAAATTTTGAGATCCAAACAATTCCTTCATAGATTTGGCCAACACATCCTGTTTTGTTCTAGCTACTCCATCTATATTGATTTTATCTACTCTTGCCTGTAAAACACAACGATGTATATTAGTTTTATGTATATTTTAATGTAATGTTATTACTTATCATGGCTTTTGCATGGATAATTCAATATTAGTAGTAAAAATTAAAGAAAGAAAATGCAGCATTGAACAGTAAATGTAAAAATATTTTCAGATATTTTTTTAAAAGTTTTTTATCTGTTCAACTTGGCTCCCTAAGATTAAATCTTGAGTGCTCCACTGATGGGTAGATCTTGTTTATAACTGTTATTCAGACTGTTGATATTCAGCATTATCAGTTTAAGTTTTTGTGCCATTATTAGGAGTGGCTGGTATTATCATTACTTCTGGTTGGGTCTGTAGGATCTATAATAGTGTGAGATATTGGTTCAGTATTGTCTAGTTTTGATAGGACTTCATTTTCAGATTCATAAATATATTTTCTGTGAGTATTCTGTTCTTATTTGCAGAATTATTAATTAATTGTGATCCCAGAGTTGCATTAATATTTGGAATATATTTAAATTTATCTTGTTTCTTCATTTGGTTAGCAGATCCAATGGTGAATTTTCATTGTTAATGGAAGTGATTCTGAATTTTCAAGTCAGTGTAGAAAGTGATGATGTTAGCCTTGGGATAATTATTTCAATCATTTATTACTTTGTTTTGAGCCTTTAGTGGATTTGAATGGCTGTGAGTATAGTTTGGATATTGTCCTTGTTCTCTTCAATTGTGGAAAGGTCTTTACCATTGTTTTCTACAATTTCTGCGTAATCTGAACCATTTTGTAACTTACATGCATAAGTAACACCTAAGCATTCTTTTCATTATAATCACATTGATGACATTTATTGCATTTAGGAGTAGAACAATCTGTGTAAATGGTCCAAGTTTTGCATCCAGAACATAAAAGAGGGTGACCTGCTATTATAACTAAACTGGTCATATCTTTGATGTTAATAAAATACAGGTAGCCCTCAGTTTATGCCGCAGTTCCATTCCTACAAAAGCCGGCGCAAATCGAATCGGCGTAAAACGAACCCATATTTACAGTGAGATATAGGGTTAGGTTATATATACAGTGACCATACGTCCTTTATTTAAGAGGACAGTCCTTTATTTTAATGCTCTGTCCTTTAACTTTATTTATTTTCTAAAATAAGCATTTTGTCCTTTATTTTGTAAAGTTGATGCAAAGTTAAAAAAAAAATTTTTAATAATATATTGAACAAGTTAGTTTTGTATACGCCACTACGACCAGTGTTGCATTACTACATAGAGCGCAGTAGTGCAGTGTGTTGCCAACCAAACGGCCCACTGACAGTACCAGGGGTTTCTTCCTAATGTTATTAGAAAAGTGGTTTTAGCATTAGAAAAATCAGAAAATATACAAGCCAAAAAATGCAATGATGCTGTGTACACATTTTATCAAACGTGCATAGATTATCTAAATAATTGAAACATGTTTTTTTTATTGAAATAGAGGTGTTTGAAAGGATCATATTATGTGAAATCCCTTTGTGGGCGAAAGTATAGAAAAGCTATATCTTTTTTTCGAATCATTGGTCCGTAAATATACTCTACGGTGAATTATTTGATGAAGTTTCATGTGTAAAAAAATATGTCACAAACGAAAAGATCGAAGAATGGTGACAGAATAACCAGCCCTGCCATCAAAGGTGGATTGAGAGTTTTGAACATTTTACAGCAAAAGAAATTGTTTTCAAAAACATTTGAAAAATCGTAGAATTTTCTTTGTCTCCCTGGATCTAATGCCCCCCATTGAACGAATATTTTCATTGGTGAATAATATGTGGACGAATGAAAAAACTGATTTAANTATCCAGTATGTACACATATATATATATATATATATATATATATCAGTTAACATTAATATTCTCAAATTTATAATATTTTGATAGTTAAAAGACAAGCACACACAATTTGAATTTTTCACAATAAATCCATTCTCACATCACAGGAGTACAAACCACAAAGTGGAGTTGACTTTTCTTTTAAGACTTTCTTGTCTAAACATACATATCTATTTAAAACATCCTTCTGACGGCAGTTGAATTTAGAATGTTACTTGTCTAATGGAAAATTCCTAAATTTATTGATAATTAACAGTCACACAAATGGATTAAAGTCTTCACAATTTGTCCTTTCTTGAAAAAATCTAAATTAGTACAATAGAGTCATCTTTCTGTTAACAATTTTTGACTCTGTAACTGTTTACTGTTCTATCAACTCCTGGTGGACTGAGCATTTTGTTTATGCATTTTTCTTAAAGATGCTATATGAAAACAATATATTATTAAATAATTTATCTTGTTTTAATGCTTGTTTTCTACTCTTTAATTTTTTGGTATATAATTTTACATATTTCTTACAGACATAATATATCATATAGAACACACTTGATGAACCTTTATGTCCGGTAACGTTTAAAATTCTTTGAGTATGTTCATTAACACCAGTAATTACATTGGAAGATATTGTTATATCATATAGCCTTTAAATTAAATTTTTAATGTATAATTTCACATTATAAAATTTAACTATAAAATAAAACAAATAATTTTTAATTAATTCATTTTACCCTTAAAAATTCACACTTCTGATGTCTGTAAGCAATTAAATGCTTCATTTTCATCCATTAATTTATGATTAAAGAAGATACAGAAAACAATTCAAGCAAATGAAAACAATGGAGGAAAACTACAAAAAGTTGAGAGCGAACATGAAAATCCATTTTATTTTTTTCTGTCACAACTAGGTGCATAGACAGACACTGGACACATCCTATTTCAGAATAAGCAATGAAAATTCATGATTAAGAACATCGGCAGCATTATATATGAATTACAGTAGTGATTCTAGATACTATACTCATGCAAAAAAAAAATTATATAAAACCAAATGAAAACAAATTACTTATACATAGTATGGGAATCAGTCAGAAGTCTGTTATTTTCACTTCAATAATATGTATGGGCATCTAAACATATGATTCTAGTAAAAAGAATTATGAACACTTCAACTTATTTGTATGTCTTCTAACTAGAAGTATTTTTCAGGAGTTTCTGCCTTGGTTTACTATTTTAATTATGAAAGCAATCTGTGACAAATATTGTTTATTAAATTGTAAAAGCAACTTCCTGAATAAACATTCAAAGAGTTTGCATGACTGAATACATATCAAGGATAATGTGTCACAAATTTTTCAAATAATATTAAAAACTTTTTGTTGTAAGCAGATAATAGGAAACAATTGAAAAACATACTTGACTAAAGAATATTACAACTGTAGATAATGTTATGTTTACTTTGTTTTTGGTATCAAATTCTAAATCTACATCTCTCAAAGGAGAGATGATGTTTTTCAATTTGAGGTTTGTTAGAAATAAATGAATTTAATAATTAAAATATCCATTAACATACTAAATGATTTTTATAATTTAATAAATAATGTTTGATAATTCAAAATTCACATCTCTTATATTTTTCATATAATCAAGAAAATATTTTTGTACATTTTTGCAAAATAATAATAATTAAAAAAATATCAATAATATGCAACAACATGTTCTTGTTCATTTTATTATTTATAACAATTTTTACAATAAATGCATGCTAAATGCCAAATATTTCTAATACTGGGATTTAGCATACATTTACTATAAAAATCTCAGAATAAGTTTACTTTATAATATGTGACATTTATTGTAAAGTAATTTATTCTGAGATCTATGTAATAAAGAGATCTGTACTCTAATTTTGTAGTTACAAAATAAATCTCTTGTTTAAGCATAATAATAATAATAAAATGTAAAATATTTACCTCTTGAAAATTTTGAGATCCAAACAATTCCTTCATAGATTTGGCCAACACATCCTGTTTTGTTCTAGCTACTCCATCTATATTGATTTTATCTACTCTTGCCTGTAAAACACAACGATGTATATTAGTTTTATGTATATTTTAATGTAATGTTATTACTTATCATGGCTTTTGCATGGATAATTCAATATTAGTAGTAAAAATTAAAGAAAGAAAATGCAGCATTGAACAGTAAATGTAAAAATATTTTCAGATATTTTTTTAAAAGTTTTTTATCTGTTCAACTTGGCTCCCTAAGATTAAATCTTGAGTGCTCCACTGATGGGTAGATCTTGTTTATAACTGTTATTCAGACTGTTGATATTCAGCATTATCAGTTTAAGTTTTTGTGCCATTATTAGGAGTGGCTGGTATTATCATTACTTCTGGTTGGGTCTGTAGGATCTATAATAGTGTGAGATATTGGTTCAGTATTGTCTAGTTTTGATAGGACTTCATTTTCAGATTCATAAATATATTTTCTGTGAGTATTCTGTTCTTATTTGCAGAATTATTAATTCATTGTGATCCCAGAGTTGCATTAATATTTGGAATATATTTAAATTTATCTTGTTTCTTCATTTGGTTAGCAGATCCAATGGTGAATTTTCATTGTTAATGGAAGTGATTCTGAATTTTCAAGTCAGTGTAGAAAGTGATGATGTTAGCCTTGGGATAATTATTTCAATCATTTATTACTTTGTTTTGAGCCTTTAGTGGATTTGAATGGCTGTGAGTATAGTTTGGATATTGTCCTTGTTCTCTTCAATTGTGGAAAGGTCTTTACCATTGTTTTCTACAATTTCTGCGTAATCTGAACCATTTTGTAACTTACATGCATAAGTAACACCTAAGCATTCTTTTCATTATAATCACATTGATGACATTTATTGCATTTAGGAGTAGAACAATCTGTGTAAATGGTCCAAGTTTTGCATCCAGAACATAAAAGAGGGTGACCTGCTATTATAACTAAACTGGTCATATCTTTGATGTTAATAAAATACAGGTAGCCCTCAGTTTATGCCGCAGTTCCATTCCTACAAAAGCCGGCGCAAATCGAATCGGCGTAAAACGAACCCATATTTACAGTGAGATATAGGGTTAGGTTATATATACAGTGACCATACGTCCTTTATTTAAGAGGACAGTCCTTTATTTTAATGCTCTGTCCTTTAACTTTATTTATTTTCTAAAATAAGCATTTTGTCCTTTATTTTGTAAAGTTGATGCAAAGTTAAAAAAAAAATTTTTAATAATATATTGAACAAGTTAGTTTTGTATACGCCACTACGACCAGTGTTGCATTACTACATAGAGCGCAGTAGTGCAGTGTGTTGCCAACCAAACGGCCCACTGACAGTACCAGGGGTTTCTTCCTAATGTTATTAGAAAAGTGGTTTTAGCATTAGAAAAATCAGAAAATATACAAGCCAAAAAATGCAATGATGCTGTGTACACATTTTATCAAACGTGCATAGATTATCTAAATAATTNAAAAAGTATCCATCTTTAATTGTTTACATTTTTGTTTTCTTTCATTGAGAATTTCGGAATATGGTCGAATGAATGTGATGATGCTTGTTTTTACATTTGCACTTCGCTCCCAATCATTGTCTAACTCACAAAGTTCATCTGTCAAACTTTCCATAGTTGAAAGGATACGTTAACCCGACATAGAGCTACGGACGAGCGGAGACACTGATTGGTCGACCACCGGTCACCGTAGAGCATTTATAAGGTCAGTTTGAGCAAGAAAATTGAAGGTGGATAAGAAGAGATAGATATCGTCTGGCCAACGAGAAGTAGATTTGTCTCACTAACGATAGTTTGTGATCGCCGTAAGTGCTACTGTGTCGTAAGGTGTTTTCCTAAATGAACTGATACAGGATGCATTCATTGGCGCTATGGATTGGACTATTAAGTTTGATAACTTGACTCATGGGTACCTAAACGTTTAGTGTTTTAATATTAATTTAATGCAAATGTACACATACCCAATAATATTAAACAGAAAAAATAAATATATTCAATAAAAATCTTTGTTTTAACGAATGTACAATGTCGCGGCTTGGTAAATACGTCAACACTGAAATGAAAATCAGTCTGGCATAGGGAAAATCGGGGAATTACATGGCAAATTGCATAGCGGCGTTATTGTGAGCCGGCGTAAACCGAGGGCTACCTGTACCGAAGCAATTCAGTCTTAATGTCTCTTTTCAATTCATCATGTCTGATGTTTGTAAGAATGTACTCTAACTCTTCTAATTAACTCACACTTAGTACACTTTATGACTCTACAGGAATTTAAAAACTTTTTCATTTTACAACTGGTTTGTAATCCAATAGTGAAGACATACGACATCAATGCTTCAAATTGTAAAATAACTTTCAAATCTGCAAGTCACTTAAATCTTGTATATCATATGATCCACTACCAGGATTGACAATAAACAGTAATATTTTTTTCCAGTTAATGTCTATTTAAAGTTTAAAAGATAGAATTTTCATTTAAGAGAGTTGGAATTTTCTATTGAGATGATTTGAATTAGGCACTTCCTCCATACTATCAGAACAAGGACTTGGAAAGTAGCTATTGCATATCTGCTCTCCATTGTATTAAATTGAATTAATAAGGTAATGCAATATATGGCTGATATGCCAAGGGGAGAACTTTCTATGGGAAAATAGTCTCTATTTAGGTCTTAATACACGAAGAAAACCAAGAAAACATCATGAAGCCTCTAGACCAGGGATGTCCAACCCACGGCCACACTGCAGCCCACTTAATATTTTTATGAAGCCCACTGCACCCTAAATTTTTTAGGTACATTTTCATTTATTTTGTAAAGTATGTAATAAAAATTATTCTTATTTCACTGGACACACTTTGATGTCGTAATGACATAATTGGTGCTAGAAAATTGTTTTATTTAGAAAACTGTTATGCATGTGGGGTAGTATATATTGCTGTAAACAATTCTTTTCATGCATGAAAAACATCAAAACTGTAAAAGAAATAGGTTGAGTGATTCCCATTTAACTAACATTCTTAGAATTAAGACTAGTACCATAAACGCAGATATTGACAATATTACGAAATGAAAGCAATGTCAAAAACCGCATTGAATTTATTTTTATTTTGTGTGAGTATAATTTTTTCATGAATTTTATCAATTTTCTTACTCCATGTTTTTGGGAAATTTTTCCATATTCTAAAACTATGCAAGATGTGTTATGAAAATCAGGAAGTACCCAGTCGACCACCCTATAACACTGTAAATTATTCCGTTTTATATGAATTCCATGTTGTACGAGTCACTTAGATTTTACAAATACGTGTGCCGGGCTGTAAACGGCTCACATATTTGTAAAATCTAAGTGACTCGTACAATATGGAATTCATATAAAATGGAATTATCAACAGTGTTATAGGGGGGGTCGACTGTACATGTGTATAGTTTGTCATAATAAATAAATTATTAATACTGATTATTTACTGGAATATTGTATTATATAACCTTACAGACACCAAAACCTGAAGAAAAAAATTTTTAATGAAAACAAACAAAATTAACTCTATATTCAATAGACACCATCAGCTCCTATAACTAGAACATAAAATGGAATAATATTTAAAAAAAAAGTAGAACAGAACTTTTAAAATATAATGCTGCATCCAAGTTATGTATGAGGAGACTTGCACATGCACAGAGATCATGCGGAGAAGAAAAAAATTCAAACATAACATATAATATTGAAAAAGTTATAAATTATTTGAATTTTTGCTGATTTTGGTGCGAGGGTATTTATTTGCATATTAAGCCTGTATTTCTAGCAGTGACTTTAGAAATATTGTACTGTTATTCTTGATAAAAGATTACCACATTTAAGATACCACGTTGCACCACAATGTACTCGAGTTAGCGCATCTGGCTTGTTACAATTCTGTATTCTAATTCAAGAGAATATGCACAGGGAAGAGGTGTGCCAATGGGAAGTCCATTGTCTGGAGACTTATGCAAAATGGTGATCAGAGTATTACAAAGTAAGGTCCTTCCCTCCTTTCTCCCAAATATTATCCTATAAGGAAGGTATATTGACGATATCATTATTCTTTGGAAAACTGAGCCAGATCTAGAACATCTTAAGGAAACAATGAACAACAACCCATATGGCCTCCTAGTGGAACTTGAACAATATAGTAAGGATAAAATCCACTTCTTGAATATAGTCATAGAAATTAAAGAAAGGGTGGTACAAACTTATGTCTATAGAAAACCTACAGCGGTATCGACATACGTGCCATTTGAATCATGTGACCCATTTTCTTATAAGATAGCGGTGTTTAGAGCATTGGTAAAAAGAGCCTATATGCATTCTTCCACCACCAAAGCCCTCCAATGAGAAGTAAATTACATTAAAAAGATCACTAAAGAGCATGGTTATGGCAACATTATAAATAGATTGTGTAAGCAGCACCTATGTTTACAAAAATCTTATAGAAGAAAAGGTAGAGGTGCAAAATATTAAAAATGAAGAAAACATAGAGAGGGTACCAATAACATATAACCCACATCTAAAGGCAATGTATGAAAAAATTGCAAAAGTAAGGGAAATTAAGATTGCATACAAAAGAAACCCGTCCATATAAAGTTTATTAAGGAACGGAAAGGACAATCCTAACCCAAACAGACTTCTAGGAATAAACAGTATTCCATTAAAAGAAAACAGATGGGATAGGCTTTTAGTGTATATCGGATCCACCAAATGTTCATTAGCCACAAGAATAAAAGAGCATAAATCCGACATCACACATAATAAATGTACGACAGCCCTACGTATGCAACAAACCTGAGCATCCACCTATCTTCAATGAAGCGCATGTTATCCGCACCATCCAACATCCCAACACCAAGAGCAACTAAAAACTTTGAAAGCAATGGAAATCTTTAAAGCCGACCACAAATCCATATGCATTAATTTCAAAAAAGAAATGAATAGCATGGGAATTTTTACTAGACAATAAATCATAATATATTTTATAAGATAAATTTAAATAGGGTATTGTGCACATAACGAATCCCCATTGGTAGAAAATATATTTGAAATAGTTCGTGGATTCCTTCCATGTTCAGAATTTTTCAGAAAAAGGGCACATTCCAAATTTTTAAAAATATTCGAATTAATGAATTCAGTTATAACAGAAGATATAAAATAAGCCTGAAGAAGAGCCCAGGAGGGGCATCGAAAACATTCACAGATATTTTGAAGAGTTTCATGCCGGTTATTGGTTAATTGTAGGTTATGTATTTTGAACACTCTTGATAAACTTTCAATATGTTTATGATGTTTCTTTTATTTACTTTCAAGTACTTATGAAATATTTCAAATTTATTTATTTAAGTAAGTAATTAAGTATGTAAGTAGTGTTATTAAAGCCAACTGCTGAATTATATCAGGCTACATTACTACTACTATTATTAATTAAATGCTGAAGTAATTTGGTATTAGAAGTAGGTGTTAGGTGCCATCCCTTGATAAATTTAATAATTATAATTTAAACTGATATTTTAGTAATTAAGTTAGAAGGTTCTGGAAAAAAAGAATAGGCCCTAAGTGGACTAGAACTTGCAATTCTCAGTTACCATGCAGTCATGTTGCTAGTTATGCTACATGGACCTCTGATCCTTGCCTCCAGAAGTTATTAATTTGGATATAACTATACAATACCAAATTATTTAACATTTAATTAATAATAGTAATAGTAAAGTGGCCCAATATAATCCAACAATTTGTTTGACTTTATTATATAACTATCACGTTTAAGATGTTTATATTTGTAAATAGTGATTAATTCTTCATATAAAAAATTTAAGAATTACTTTATGGTAATATTAATTAATTTTTACCTCTAAATGGAAAAAGCTGATATCTGTAATGATCTAAAGCCATAAAATTCATTAATTTATCTGTCTTTTAATACTTAAATGCAATTTCTGTTTAAAATTTTTGTTTCTTAACATTTTAAAAATTAATCAATATTACCATAAAATAATTCTTAAATTTTTTATATAAAGAATTAATCACTACTTACAAATATAAACACCTTAAACCTTAATTTTCAAGACATCTTACTTCTTAGTGTTTAAGTTATGGAAACAAACTTTAAAGCACTTACTGAAACTTTTTCCAAATATATGTTATCCCCTTTGTCTCTCATTTTCTCTTCTTCTATCCCTGTAGGATAGGACTGAAAAACAAAGAGCTTAGTTTTAATTCAAATTATGAAATATTTATTTATTTACTTGTGAGCACTAAATTGGCCTTTCTTTATTGCTAGACTTATTACACCACCACAGGACATCAGATTAACCTTAGAAAATCACTTTATTATTTCAAAAAGAATGCATTTTGGATCTGAAAGTCCCTCATCAGCATGTTGTACACTAAATAAATCTATAGAATGTTGTCGTGTGTTATACATAAGTTTTTTTAAAAATATGCATCACAGCCATTGTTCGAACTGAATTTAAAAAATTTTTTTACAATAAATCTAGCAATAAAGAAAGGTCAATTTAGTGCTCACCAGTAAATACGAAGACGAGACAAGAAGTGTATCTTAGTATAAAATATTTACTCAATTTTTAAAATAATCTGCAATAAGTTTTAAAAATAAGTGAGATAGCTTTTGGTGTAAATAACAAACTCATCTAACAAGAAAGATGTTCTCAGACATAAAAATCAATAAAACTCCCACATTAAAATGAAATTATTATTTGCTTTTGTCAAAATCAAGTTTACAACATATAATCATTCCATTCTATAATAAACTTCACGTAACATTGAATTTCCAAGTGCTCAAACATAACGATGATATATAACATGAGATAGGTCTCTTCCGGTGTGTGCGGTCGTGCGGCGGGGGAGAGGAAGCGGTGGGTTGGCGTCCAATAGCGATTGCCAGGCCAGAGACAAGGTTAGACCTTGTCTCTGGCCTGGCAATCGCTATTGGACGCCAACCCACCGCTTCCTCCCCCCGCCGCACAACCGCACACACCAAAATAGATCCACCCCCTCGAAACCGACACCCGATCCTAGAGAATAATAACATAAGATACTTTACAAGTTGCAATTAAGTTTAAGAAAGAGAATACACAGTGGCGCATTATAGCTTTATGGGGCCCAGACAAACTTGAATTAGGGTCCGCACGTAGCATTGCTTTCAAACATTTTTCTTCGGGAAAGTTTTTGTATCGCCGTTCTTTTTAATGCAACCAGCGGGTTAGGTTCCGCACTGCGCCCACGCCACATTGGCCATCTAGGGACCCAGATACAGGCCAAATTTTAATTTCAATATTCTTACTACAATTATGAGTTTATTAAAGATCGGTTCAAGGCTCCCCTGTCAGCAAGATTCCGGGTAATTGCTTTTTCCCCCCACAGGATAACATGCCATTGAGAATACACCAGTTTAAACTTCACAAAAAATTGCAATTTTTTAAATATATATTAATTACTTAGATAAACTCAGTTCAGTGTAATAAAAGAGATTTTATTTTAACAATTCTGAACTAATATAGAAACATTTAAATCCCACCAAATTCCCCCAAAAGGTGGGAAATGTTTTGAATTATATAAGATTTTAATATCTGTACGACAGTTTTTATTTACTAAAAAACTCCAATTTAATAAATTTACATCGAGACAATCAAATATAGCATAATTTTAATATTATAAAAACTTTGTTTTTACAATATTATCATAAAACGGGCACAAGTTACTTTTAGTTAATTGTTTACGTATTTGTATATGAACGATTTATCTAAAAGTAACTTCTACCGGTTCTAATAGAGTTGTTATCAAGAATTAGTAATTACTTCTCCAAGTTGTAAGTTCTATATAATATATCGAAATATATATATACTCGAATACAGATTTTATACTTTTCTCGCATTTATACCTTTGCTTGAACAGTTCCCATTACAAAATAACTTAATTTCACTTGTAAAACTTAAGGTGAAGAAGCGGTCAACGAAATTGAATCAATGGCGCCATCTGCAAAATTATTATATATAAAAATTTACACTTGTTAAAAATAAAAAAAAATATAAAAATAAAATACATAACTAAGTAATTTATTATATACTTATATATATATATTATACTTCGTGTAATATATATATTATACACAAAGTGTTTTTATTCCCGTTAAATAAATAATAAGTTTAATAAATATTTTTGCCACTTCGAGCGCTTCAATCGCGTATAGTCCTAAGTTTGGCTGGAGCCAGAGTCGGTAGATTAACTGGTCTTTCGACTAATAGTTCAAACTTAGCTAGAGACAATATTTGCCGCTAGTCGGCGCCACTGTTAGCAGGAGATCGTTGTTCTTGCTAGGTATATACTGAAGTCAGTGATTTTGACCTATAATAATTGTTTTTTTAGCTACATAAAAATGCCAACGTGCTTTGTGCCAGGATGCAAGGCAGGATATAAGTCATCGAACGAGAAGAGACATTTCTTCCGTGCTCCTAGCGATAAGATTGAGGAGTGGATGCGATGCATTCCACGAGACGACAA